GTAATCCCTAAAACCTCCTAAATGCATTTCAAACATTTGTTTTCAGTAAAACTTTATATTTTATCTGTTATTTTCTCTACCCTAACTCTAAATGGGATCGGTCAATTTGACTGACCTCATAACCATCCAAAAAAATTGAAATAACTCTAAATTACCCTTTTTTCTTTCTATAATGACTTCAAATTATAACATGAAACTTCATTTTTTTATCTTATGTAGCTTTAAGCTCGTAACAGTATACATTTAATTATAATTAAATTTTATTGTATTATTCCCCTTTGAATTATGTCTAACTACTATCAGTGTCATTATAAGTTGTAAAACACTCAGGGAATGTGCAACTCACGTTATGCTATCGAATTACATTACCCATGAGCTACTATGAGCTACTTGCATGTGTGCCTCGTGAAGTATTTTTTATTATATTATTATTATTTATTTTACCTAATCTAATCTTAACTAACCCAAAAAGATCCCTATTTTTACATTTTAGTTACTTACCCAATCTTCTTTTTTCTTGCTGTCGATTGTCAATGAAACTTAACCCTAGTTTTTTATACTAATGGTAGTAATACACTAAATACTTTTTATTTAATTAAATAATGCACCAAAGAACATAGATAATAACATACAAAAAGTAGCCAATTTCCCCTAACTCTCAAAATTCTTCTGGCTTTCTAACTTTGCAACAAAAGCCATTACAAATTCATCCAAGCTAGTTGTTAACTTTCCTATGGGAATGAAGCTTGTACTCTTGAGTGAAATTGATGCTTATCTGTTCAGAACACAAAGTTATACAATATGCCATTTGATAGATAAAAAACCTTGACTTTATATTAGTTATAGGTAATATATAATTAAATGTAAAAGAGAACTATTAAAAAAGCCTGAAAGAGAGGATGTGACAGTTGGTGTGGGGAAGGGGTTTGATTTTCTATTTATAGCTTTGTAACCAAATAAAATTGAAGGCTATAAAAATTATAAATTATAAACATTATGGTTTGTCTGAGCAATGATGATATTATAGGGAGCACTTTACGTTTAATTTTGTACATTTTGAAGGGGTGAAACATAAGAAAGAAAAAAGGAAAGAAACAAATTTTGAATGTAAGACACTCAAACTTTGTGGGTTGCACAGTTAAGGATACCCATCACGATAGGGTTAATTGATCAAACAATATTATTTTTACTTGTTTTGAGGACACCTGAACTTATAACTAACAGTTACCACTGTCATTATATATCTGACAGTTTAGACTTTTGACTGGCTACTTATTTGAAATGTTGCTGAATTTTACAACAACTATTCACCATTCTCTTTCCAGTAAATTGGATGCGAGTAAATTCTGACCAGTGAATTGACTAGTAAATAAATCGATGTATTTTTACCAACAGATGTTCTGCAATGTAATAATATCTTCAACAACTTCAACTGAGAAGTATAAAGAAAAACGTTCTTTCCATCCTGCATATATTCATGACCTTGCACTCTGGGAGTTCAATCTTTCTGGTACTTTCAAGGACAATGTTGAACAATGTTGATAAACAACTGGTGTTCTTAAAATAGTATAACATTACTCATTTTGTAGCCCCAATCCCAGCATTTCACCAAACTGATATAATAAATTTCATAATATGAAGTCATGCTTAATGAAGTCTACATACTCAAAATATCAGCATCATTGGTATGGTAATCTGATATTGTTGATCTACAAGATATAAAATCCTGTTTCTTTCTCAATAAATACATGTTCTAAAGTCACCATTATTTCTGATAACTTATTATAAATCAGCATAATCACTAAGAAGCAAATGCATACACTATCTATTAAATTTTTCTAACTATTGTGTCAGAAATATTTATATACTAGAGTTTTAAAATTAATATATCAGGTACATCAAAGTACTCTGAACTTAAGGCATTAGTAAACTTCAGGCTTAAACTCACTCTATGATGAACTTGTAAAATACGAATTTTAGACTAACTGCAAGCTCACCATTGTAACTAATCCTTGGCTTTGTTAGACACATAACCAGGTGGTACTCAACATCATCAGAAACGACTATTTTAGAACAAACTGGACATTTTATTCCTAAGGAAAGAAACATAAAATAACATCACAACACTGAATATTAAAGTTTATGAGTAAAGATAGTCATTTCCCTGACATTATAAGAATTAGTAACTAAATCCATACAATAATTAAAAATTGAAAAACATAATAAAATGCCACTATGAACAAAATGGATTACTTATTCATAGAATGTGTATTTTATTGAAATTTTAATTTCATCAGTATATAATATATAAGATCATACAAAGAGGCTGTGTGTATGTATATATAAAGTTTTAAAATACCTTTCTAAAATGTTAAACTCCTAGATTAAATCTAGTCAAACATTAAAACAATTGACTAAGTGTTTCATTTTTCCAAAGTACTCTTTTCAATGAGAATCTTTTGTCCACATTAAAAAAATTCTTAATTATGACTTTTGAAATAGCAATTGTGATATAATGTTTATTTATGATTTATAAATACAGGTACAGTACATTATTACTATTTTCAAAAATAATAATAGTATTGTATGCATGTTAATTATTATGGTATATAATGAATTATTCTTGCAAAGTGTGATATACTGATTCGTAGTGTGTGTAACATTACATTACAATAAAATTGATAATTCTTTTTTTTTCAAATCTTTATTTACTGACTGTATATTATAGAATCCCAATAAGAAGAAACATATTAGCAACACAACACACCTAGTGTGCTATATGCAATTACCAACAAGGCTAGGCTCAGTGCCAGAGCTCACCAGGTTAGCTGGGAATGCAAGACACACAGTCACGGACAAAATTCTATTTATATCAGCCATTTACAATAAATCAATTATCATAGCATGTATTATGCCTTATGCTGGTAAACTATTATCCACTGATCAATACTTTGTGTGAAATTACAATAAGACTGATAATACAATAATTTTTTACAAATCTTTATTTACTGGCCCTATACTACGACCTTCCAATAAGAAGAAATATAACAGCATTTTGACCTCACACCACTTATTATTAGATTAGTATACATTTTAATTTGTTTTACATGCAGTTTTGCCATTACATTCTTTAAATACCAATATCAACAAATACCTATACAGTATAAAAACACAAACATATGTTTTTGAACAAACAGAATAGCTTCTTAGAATACAAAAACATACATTAGAGAATACTGAATCATGAAGACATTTAAAATTATATCACTCTGATAATTGGACAAAATCAATATACCAGATTTCAAAGTACTATTGAAGCAACAATGATAAACAATATTAAATTTTATGTTTTCAACATTGTCCCTGGTTATAATTGAAGTATACTAAGATGTTGATTAATTAACCAAAGTTTGTTTGATATCAGTAAATGCTCCGAGACTTACTATACTTATGATAACAATGGCTCTTTTGGTGCTAAACAATTTTGCTCTGATTTTATTATTAACTTTAATGGAAATTTTACATGATAGCTGAATAAAGGCTTACAGCCTGTTCAGATACATGCACAAATTTAATATATTTCTTACCTGAAGTTGTATTTCAGATAGATATTCATCTTTCAACAGAAAATACAGCTATTACCTTGCATCAATGCTGAGATTTTTGCACATAGTACAAATCTTGAAAAAAAACTTTCACCCTTATGTGTATTAATATGGACTGTGCCAATAGGAGTGTGTCACATTTTTCATGTGTAGTAAGCCCCATGAGTACTAGTATTTCAATAAAGACTCATCTTAATGAGGGAAAAGAAACACCAGAAGTGGAGAGGAGAGGTGGGAGAGGTTCTGTGGAGAGGTACATTTCAGGTAAGGAAAATGTTAATCTCAGAAGTGCTACTCAGCTCTTCACAGGACACTCATCAGATGGTGGAGGAAATGGTATAGATAAAGAAGTTATAAAGATGAGCACATTTCTGGAATCACAGGTGTCATAATTGGAAAAAACCCATGGAGCATGTCACCCACGTGGGGGGGGGGGGGGGGGTAGACTAATGAGGCATCATTCAGTAAGAAAATACATCCTTCTCACGCATGGAAAACTCTTTGCCCAATAAAGGTGGTAGAGTAAAAGGTATTGTGAAAAGAGCCATCTGTGTGGTGTTAAAATGTTGCATACCTGGGTAGTATGTACAACTGGTCATTATATCTTGGGTGGTTGGCAAAGCATGTATGTGTAGACTGTACAGTATTGGAGAAATGCTTACTACATTAAACAGGTAGATGGAGTAATCATCCCAAAGATAACACAAGACCCACCCAGCTGGCCTAATTATGGGGAATGTTCTTGTTCTTAGTATAAGGGGTGGCCTGTACTACACTTCCAGGTAAAAACCCTAGCCTTACTTTCCAACAAGGAGTGCATCCACTTGGTCTCACATCATTATTATTACACTGGCCTGAAGGGAAACTCTCAATATCAACCTTCCTAGCAACTTGGGACTGAGGAAGCAAGAATTCACTTGTTAGTCCATTAGAAGACAAAATATGAAGGAATTAATGTTGGGGAGAACACCAGAAAGGTGCATGGACCAAACAAGAATTTTTTATCATCTGAATAAGCTACTACACTGATAGTCTGTTACCACAAACAGGGACAGTAGGTGCTAGTCATGTATGAGGGCATGCTCACACTTAGTGCTTTCATATTCCCTTCTTCTGAAGTACAGCCTAGTATATAATGCCAAAGCAGTCTTGAAGAAAGTCACATTTCAACAGCAGACAATGAGCAGGGGCAAATGGTCTTAACACTTTCTATTATCCTTCACTTGATGCAGATTTTGGGAGAGAGATGTATTCCCTATCAGACAACACTAGCCACATGGTGGGTTCCATCATCTCCATAATATAGATATATAGAAATATGAAGGTGGTTGCAGGACCTTCAAGGAGAGGAATAATTAACAACTCATTTTCATGATGAGGTTGGAAAATGGCAAAAGGGAGAAGACAAAAACCAGATGCAGATGAAACCACAATATTTTGTAAGTATTGTTACATTATTATTTTCTCTAGCTCTCATCTTCCTATGTATTTTATTTTTCTCTATCAGTCAAAAGTTTCATAATGAAAATTAATAATAATGTTTTTGTTTCTTTCTCTCTACAAATGATTTCCACCTTCCGGGAGATTAACGGCTTGAGTTTGGATTGGCTGGTCACCAGATTCAACTCAACTGGGACTTCTGGTTTACATGACATCACACGTCCTACTATATATTGCACTGCGCAGGCTAAAGGCCACCCTTTGTTCTCCTGAAGAAGAATAGTCGACTATTTGAAAGCACTCGAGTTTTGGGTCTTATTTTAAGTCTATTACACTTTACATGTGATCCTTTGTGCTAACTCTTTTATCAAAATAAATACTTTGTTACTCATATATTGAAAAACACACACTTTAAAACAGACCCCTACAAAACAAAAAGCTAAAGAGTTCCTGGCAAAATGACATTTAGGCTGGTCCTTATTTTTGAAGTTGTGATTGACAACATACTCACCCTTTCTTTTTGTTCCAATATAAAAAAAAATAAGTAATTCACAAAATTTTATCCATATTCAATAACATTTAGGAGTTCATCAAGGTAGTAGAGGTTTTTATCTTGTAATTTGCTTTATATCTGCATATTCTGAATATTCCAGAAGTTATAATTTTCCTAATCTGAAAATGTATTTCCAAACATACTGACCTCCACTGACACTTATATCTATTTCTCGATCTTCATCTTTCCCATCTAAACATAGTATTCATTTTCTCCAGTCTTTATACACCACTCGACTGCCCTCGGCAATATCTAATTTGCAAAACTTTATACTGGCGCTCACACGCCCTCTATGCAGGTACTGTATATCGACAATATAATCACTTTCTTGAGACTCACCCCATCCCAGTCACTAACACCAACTCTTAGTGGGGAGGAAGGAAGGGAGAGTGTCAACGGAGGTAAGTATGTTTGGAAATACATTTTCAGATTAGGAAAATGATAACTTCTAAAACATACATACATCCACTGACACTTATAGCTAGAATCCCACACTGAGAAGGCAGAGATGCTGGTGAGAGCATAGTTCATACAGAAAGCATCTGCATAGAACAAAGGTGTACCATGAGAAGTGGTACCCAAGCACGGAAAACCACACTACATCCAGAACAGGTATGCTCTACACCCAGAACTATAGAATAGTAAAAATGGTGGAATATTACACAAGTAAGTATGATGGGCCAGCTCCAACCATGCAGCTGAGGTTCCACAACTTGGGGTTGGATTTAAGGGGTCATGGTACCCATTTCTCCATTAGTGGCAAGGGCAGTTGGACTGCAAATATATATATATATATATATATATATTTGTGATGGGATCCTCACCAGTAGCCATGGAATGATGTGTTTCGAACAACTAGATTTATGAAAGAAGAAAAGCAACACCAAAGTGGACGATCCTTCTGATCAACTTGAAGAAGTCCAAAAGGCAACATCCCAGGCTTGGATTGATGGGATCATATATGTGTCAGTGGAGGTATGTATGTTTTGGAATTTTCTAAATATTACAAAGTTGATTTCTAGCACTGTAGAGGCTCAAATGTATACTGTGGCACATTTGCTGGAAGAGTGGAGGAGTCATTGATCATGTAAAGGCAGTTTCCTTTGACACAACAGCAAGCAACACTGGCCACAGAAATGGAGCAAGTGTGTTGTTAGAACAAAGATCAAACAAGAATCTTCTGTATTTGGCATGCCAACATTATATCACAGAACTTGTTGTGGCACGTGATTTTAAAGACTGTATGGAGCTTTCCTGTGACCCAGATACAGCAATTTTCAATTGACTCTTTTCAATCTTAGGAAACATGGACCAGTCTAGTTGTAAAACTGCAGCTGACCTTGATGAAGTAGCAGAAGCCATACAGAAATTTCAGGATAGTGTTAATAAGTTTGCTACAAGACAAGTTCAGGTCAACCAATCTAGAGATGGTTATCAAGAGCTTCTTGGACTAGCCATAACCTTTCCTGTAACATCAAGTTTGTGATTTTTGTTATTCAACTAAATTGTTCATTCAATTGTGGATGAATACAATTTATTGCAAACAACCATAACTGGCCCAAAGGTTGGCTGCTATCCAACCCAGTTTGTAAGTTTTATTTCAAACACTGAGCAACTTATTAAGGGCTTTTTGGAAGATACAGACTTATCAGTTTGGTGAATCGAATATACCTATTGATTAGTGTCAACTTGTCAAGTGAAATAACCCAAACTAAGATTAAACTGATTAAGGTCATGAAAACAATCAGCTAATTGAAATTAGTGTTTCCAGTTATTACAATTTTCAGTTATTCCAACTACCCAAGTCTCAAGTGAAAATAATTGATTAGTTGAATGTAATCAATTAATAAGCAGACAATTATTTGATTAACAAATTCCCCTAATTATCCAGCTCTAGTCACAAAACACAAGTCAGAGTGCTATCATCCAAAGTAAGTGGAAGCCCTATTTAAAAACTTCCACAAATTATTAAGCTAAGAAAACTTTTTTCTAAAACCATGTGGAGAATTATTAATTAAATGCCAGTTTCCAAATAACATGACAACATATTTCAATACTTTGTTAAGAACAAAGCTTAGATTGATAGGTATGTAAGCAGCATTTCTTAGCCTTTTTTGATACCAGGGACAGGCTCTCTGTCTCCTTAAACTGTCATGGACCACTAAAATTCACGTATTCCCATAATTTTTCTCACAGTTAACTGAAGTTTTTGGACATTTTTGTCTATTTTGAAAACCTTAGCATCTTCCTTATGATCTGTGAATTAATATTTTTATCAGCTACACATTTTTCACTTATTAGTAACTTCATCCACTATTCATTATTTTGGGTAAAAGGCTTTCAACAGGAATGCAAAATTTTGGTCCAGTGTAGGAACACATTCATTTTCAGCCAACATGATCAAGTTAACAAAAGATATTCCCAGCTTTATTAGCATTTTTCCCCATTTATATTAGCTACCCACTTTTTTCTTTAAACATCTTACAGTCTCCGAAAGTCAACTGGCTTAAAACACAGGTACAACTCTTAAAATACAATGATGTGAAGTACTATATTGATATTGTAAAATAACCTTTCTAATCATATTCTTTATTGTATGAACTACAAGGTCTGTAATAGCATCTTTCCTAATACAGTGTTTGACACTAATGGTTGCCCAGTACAATTAAAAGTTCAATTTTTGCAAGTAGTTCCAAACCCATGACTTTCCAACTATCCAAGTGAAAAAAAAATATTCCCTTAGTTTTGCCTGTTCACTATTAGAAAGTAGTTAATTTATAAAATCTGTTAAAAAATTTAATAAATAATTCAAAATCCATATACATGTGTTAATCAATCTGTGTACCACTCTGCACTTGAATGGTATTAATACGCCTCCATTCGTTACTTAATTTTCCGTAAAAATTCTTTCCGAATGATACAAGTCCTGTCTTAAATAAAACTGGTTTATTCTTTCTGAATACAACTTTGCAATACACTTAATTTCCACAGTCGTGCTATAACAAACGCTATAATTCACAACGAACGCCTCACGTGCTCGACTCAACAATATGTCTCTCTGTCCGCAGTTCAATTACGCAGCATTACATTGTTGCCGTCACGTCTTGACCATCTTATATATAAAAGAATACCGATGTTTAGCATCCTCCCGAGGATTCACGAAGCTTCGAGAATATGATGTGTTATTAGCATCACGTGACCTCCGCTGTCATAACAGTATAATAAATTATAAGCTTCTGTGTGAAATGTATTCTTTTATTGGTATGCTGTTTTGATCAGCATTTAATATTGTAGATACAGATTTTGCAGAATCATAATTCATTGTTATTTTTAACATATACTTTTGTTTCTAAACAATTTTTTCAGTAATTGAAATGTTACTTATGAATAAATGCACCTTAACAACTTGATTTTTCTCACCTACATGAGACAACAGTCTTTTAGGTCTTTGACAACAGCAGATGTACTTTTTTCACAACTTTCAGATCCTAATGATATGACAAAACTTTAAAGATATGTACTTTAGGGATAATTCACATTCAAATTGCACAAATGAGAAATGCTATTACTTTCCTCACAAGACAATTTATTCCAAAAAGCATCAAGCCTTATAATAAGATCATCAATCATGTATTGTGTGATAAAAAAACCAAACACTGTACACAATTTTCAGTCTCATACAAATATAAAACAGATCACATTTGACACATGTATATTACCCTGATTATGATTATTCTAGTTAAATCACTTTTGGAAATAAACATGGAAACAAATTTTCTGACTAAACATTTATTTTCAAGTAACAAACAACTACTAACTACTAGCAGATCAATTATAAATATAAAATAATCAGTTATGGCCTGGTGGGGTGTAAAAACATTGAACTTGGGTTATCTAAATTTTTGCCAAGTTTAAGTTTTTAGCAGAGTGAGTTCTCATGGATAAATATTAACTCTTGCACAGTTTATGGTACCAGACATACTTAACCTAGTTCACACCATAATAGTCACTCTTCTTAAAAGTTGATGATATAAATAGCTCCTAGACCACTCCCATGTCTGTCATATCCCAGCCAGCTTGATTAGCCTTCGTATTGAAGTATAATTTATTCATTTAAGATTACTTATTTTTAGTGCACAGTGCAACATTGAGAAGTATAATGTTTTTTTATGTGAGCTTATAGGTATGAGATAACATGATGACAACAAGAGCAGTGGCTCTTCGTACTTCTTTGTGAGTGAACACATATACCTTGCTCAGTTTTTATGTACTAACTGAATCAAAACTTAAATTTTAAATAATAGTGTAAATTTGATAATGTTTATTTTAATATTTAAAATCTAATTGAAAGTTTGATTAACCACTCAGCACTACAGTTGCCCAAAATTCGTAATAATAATACCCTTGTTTCTATTGACACCATTACAAATTTGCGTGTACAGTTCCATCAGTGTTAATTTCAGCTTGGCTATGGGGTAGTTAGACCAAAGGCAAAAAAAATTTAAATACTTTAGGAAAAATCCATAATGAATTCTCACAGAAATACACACATATATGTATGCAACTGATAATGTATAATTCTGGAAAATCATACTGAGATTACAAAATAAAGATTTACCATTCAATGTGAGTAGCTGTATGGGTAGGGAATGAGTAGAAAACATTCCACTGAAGGCCAGCATGTCATCAGGTGAGCTAAGGTCTGAATCAGGTGATCTTGAACCACCTACAATAGTTCCACGAACTGAGGACAATCCAAGAGTTTGACCAGACTGCCCGTTAATCATACTTGTAAGACTTCGAGTACGCTGTCTTATGTCAGAAGAAGAGCTGTGTCTACCACCAGTCCTTTGGCTGTTAGAAATCACCTCCACTGCTTGATTATCTGCAGCTTGTGAAAAACTTTGAGAACTATGACAACTCTGCTTTGATCCCATTATTATAACCTATGAAGAACAAAATGAAAGGAACATACTAGATTATTTCTAAGGTAAAAAAAAAACACTTCCTGAATAGGCTTTTATATACAAATTTCTTTTTTATGTTTTTTTTTTAATTAATGGCCTAACAATTAGACCTTGAGTATTTTCTTGGTCTAATTCATTTTAAATTTATCGCAATTGATTGAATCTCTTAAGAATGTGTAACATACCCTCTTACACAGATTTAATATAATAATAATAATAATAAGTATTAATATTTATTGTATCCTTAAATAACAAAAATTTCTCACCCTTTATTCAATATTTCTCAATATACTGATATATCACACTCAGTTACTATTTCCTTTACTGTAAGTCTTTCATTCAAACATATCTAATGTGATAATTTAAATTTTGATACATGTATGCAATTTATTAGTACAGTGATACAGCATGCCGTAACTGTTCACACAGTCAATAAATTATTGAAAATAACATTTTAAGAACTTTAGCATAATTACATCATGGTCTGATTGTTAGACTCGGAGTTCTCCAATATTTAAAAAAGCTTCAGTTGCTTCAAAAGCAATAAACCAGGAATTCTGGACATGCTTGAAACCACTTATGTATACGTATGAATGAGTTCAGGGTACATCATCTGCAGTTTATAATTATAATCAAGGATATATTGAGATTAAAAACAGCTCAAGAAATTGATTTTTATAACACCCCTACAAGGAGATCAAGAAGAGAGATTCCTGAAAAAATCTGGGCAGGATAGTGCACTCAGTACTGTATAGCCTATTATATGTACTAGTACTATTTGTACACTTTACACATTCAACAAAATTTTTCATTTACAATCTTACACTTATTACCTGTCTTAGTAATGTATAATCTATATGACCACAAGATTACACGAACTGGAACTAATTTACCCAAAAATAATTTTAAAAGAGTAATTACCTGATTATAGCTCATCAGCCATTTATGGGAAATTGGGCAAGTGATTAAGCTCCATTTAAACAGATTAAAAAGAAACCTCAATTTCTTTTGATGGACTGCTGTTCCACCAGGAAAATTTCCAGTATTTCAGCAGCCCAATCTACTCCTGACTGTAATAAGTGGTTGTAATTGGTGTTTTTTTTAATTATACTACTATCACTCTTATAGAAGACAAAAATGACACTCACAAACAAGTTTACAAATCACAATGTACCTCTTAGACGAGATGAAAGAGCTGACTTCAACGTTTGACAACATTGAAGGCATGTTTAAAGCTTAGTTCAAAACTCAAAAATACATAAATGAGTATAAACTGAAATAAATGTAGTGTTGCATATTCAATGAATGTGCAAATTACATTAAATTTAAATTATACCATACAAACTATAATGGTTCAAAGTCAAAAATATTTTTATAAAAAAAATCACATTAGTTCTACATAATCTATATTAGTTTGTCCAAAATCACAATGAGTATTGTTGTGCACTTTCTTGTTTTATTTTTACTTGCAGCTACAGCTATAAAATTGCTAATTAACACAAGAAACAAGCACAAAGTGGAAAAGCTGTAGCACAAAACCAAACCAAAAAAGGATTTTCTAGGCATACATCTTAAAAAATAAAACTATTAATCCTTATGAAATCACAGACAGACACCCTTTGGTCAGCTTAGCTATCAAGCTTTACTCTTCTTTAGTTTAGGTGTGTACGTGGAAAAAACCCCTTTCTTGTTTTATTTTTACTTGCAGCTACAACTTTTCCAAGTCTCACTCTTTTTTTTTAGTGATAACTAGTTGCACAAACATAGCAGATGATAAATAAAAACCATAAAAGAGTAACATCAAATAGACATGCCTTGATAAATCCATGATTACGTTTCATATTGTATACCAAAGAAATTGTAATATGTCTTGCCAAACATCCTGTGAGTGATACTGAACAGACAAGTATAAAAGATTATTTAAATTTATAGTGTTTAATGTCAATTTTTATAATACTGAAATATTCCATAGTACTAAAGCATTTTTAGTGCATTTTTTGCCATTCCTTTTCATCCTCTCTTTTTTTTTTAATGTCTGGTAAATAATTAAAAATAAACATTAAGCTTGAAAGAAATAACTACCTGTCATGAGGTAGTAAAAGAAATTTTACATTTAACCCATTTACTGCAACTGGGAAATATATGTCCCAGTCACAGTGAAAGGGTTAAACAGTGTAGCAATTTACCAATGCTCAAGGTCAGTTTCAAAAATTAATCTTAGATTACTCAATTTTTATATTATGTTTAGGTATATTTCTTGAATCAGTAAAATGGATATTTTGAAACATGCAATAAGCCATTTCTTATTTTAAGGTATTTCTTAGTTGAGTCACATTTGAATTTAGTCATGTCAGTGGTATTAACATACATTTTTTTCTCTCAAATATATTACCATTTTTCTTTTATTTTAGGAATGATACAAGTTGCTACTGCTATTGTTTTCCAGTAAAATTGTTACGGTTGCTTGCTCTATCACCAGTGATTTATTTTTCCAAAATAAGATGTTCTTAGCATTTAAAACTATATTTTTAATAACAATTGCTATAGCTCAAAAGTAATATAGTCACTTTCAGACATAAATACCAAGATAAAAATTTTTCAATCTAACTTCTTTTTCAACAGCAACAAACACGTATGCTTGAAGGTGTAGATGACATTGTTGAAACACGACTTGTTATTATAGGAATTTGTTCAGTAGCACCAGTGGCAGCCATATAGGGTGTGCAGGTTGTGTAGTGCACAGGGGCCCACCAAGCTCTAATCTAATTAACTTTAAAAGGTCTTCTAACAAACAGTGACAAACTGAGAACAGCAAAGTTCTCAGAAAAACTGTGATTATGGTTCTGTCAGTCATCCTTTGAACCTTTTGTAGGGTTTTCTCTTTGCCCCATTTTAGTTAACTTTTAAATATTTTGTGATGATTTGATATTTATTGTATAAGACCAATTGATTCTTATTTTTCCTTTTAATATTAAGATTACCATAATGTATTTACCTTTGTTAGTAGTGTAATTAGAATTTAATTACAATTGCTTAATAGCGTATGTTGTAAACTACAAATAAGAAAAGAGTAATTTATCTAGTATTTGAATGCATTTGAAATAATTTCTGACCATCTTTTAATTTTTGCTGTAATGATGTGTTTCATTTGTATATGTGCATGTATGATAAATACGGCCACTGCTGAGTAACACACATTTATTACTTGTTTTTATGGAGACTGTTAGGATTTCATTAGGTCATAAATTAGTGTTAAAAATTTGTGTATGGTGTTACAATCTTTTTGTGGTATGTGATTCAGAGGCATGCTGAATCCCGTGACCTTCATTTAACGTTGTATCATTATTAAATGTATAATTTTCAATAGATGTAAGAGCAGTCTCAAAAGTGAACTCAAAATTCTTTAGGTTTAACACTAACATGTAGCTTTTTCTCTCCAATAGCCACACCATACTTAGAACTATAATCACTTGGTGTTGGTTTAATGAATTCCATAAATATTCCACAATATGTGCACAAAGAAATAAAGCACGCATTAACTCCATGATGGTGGGTAAACACCTTTCAGATTTCAAGTGCACAACTGCATATCAAATTTTAAAGTTGAAGTATGAATAATGATTTTAAATTTATCAACAAGTTTTTATTCTAAATACTTTACAATTGATATTTTGTCATTTTGCAATTTTTTTAGTGTAATTTGCATAAAATATTTCATACATTTCTAAAAAGTTCAGAAAAGTCTTGCCTGTAACCAATACACTTATTGATTATTTTTTTTAACCATCTTAGACCACAGGTTTTTATTTGCTAAGAAACTAACCTCCCTTGAATTATGATTTTCCTCTGTCTGATAATTTATTGTTACAGGGCTCTGTTAATACACATGCTGTGAGGTATGAGTGGAAATAACTATAATGAAGGCCAGTTTTGAAAACAGCTGCAAAGTTTAAATACCACTGGATAGAGCAGAGCATATTATAAACTATTTATGTCAATGTATAGTGAATGAAGTTGTGTGAGAAGTAATTTATGGTTTTGTTAAAAAAATAATTAGACATAGCTCCTGCAGAGGACAACAGAATTTAGTGTAAAGTTTAGAAGATGTAGGAGCAAACCACTTACCTAGGAATTGTTTTATAGTTTTGTTTAGACTCAGGCATTCTATATTTTTCTGAAAATGTTTGTGCTTTAAGTCTTATTTATTTGAAATTTATGACAATTTTATTCTATGTAAGACATCATATAAGCCTTATTATGTTTAAAGAGCATGCAAAATATTCCATTCACACAATTTACATAAATAAACAAGCTTATAATTTATTGAAATCAGAGGATACTTATTAGGTATAAACTGATTTGAAGAAGAATATTGTTAGCAAAGAATAGTAGTACCTAACCTGATCTGACACCCTTTTGAAAGGTTGTGTCTCAGGATGCTGATAAGTTTATGCAGTTTTTTATTATTATTATTATTTATAGCCAGAAAAGGTAACTACTGCAATCACAAAATAAAGTTATAAAAAAATATTTTAATCAATATCCACCAAGTTGAAACAGACTGTATATTAGGGTGCATCAAATTTACTTAGTCTAAAATCTTATTTTGTAATTGCTAGTTGGCAGGGTGTGCAATAGTTGCCTTTTATTATAAGAATTAATCTTATGCAGTGTGAAACTCCTCCAATTATATCTTCAACTGCTGCAAGCAAACCAAAATTTGAAAAAAAAAAAAAAGTAGGATCATCTCTCTACCAAATTAAATAGTTAATCACGAGGACTTAATGGTTTCAAGTTCAAAACATTCTAATGTTGATAATACTGCACTTTCTACATCAAAATCCCAAAATAAACAAATGAGGACACTGCTTCCAAGGGTATTGAAAGAAGCTGACAGGTACTGTATTTCAGGTAGAGCTGCTGCAGCCCTTACCTCAGCTGTTTTGGAAGATATGTCCATTATTCAAGAAAATGACAATGCTAAAATTGTCGATAAAAACAAGATACGATGGGAACGAGAAAATTACAGAGAAACATTACTGACTTTTGATGAATCAAATTGTAATAAGTCTATCTATTTTGATGATAGAAAAGATACAACTAAAATTGTCATAATTAAAAATGGGCAAAAACATTATAAACGTGTAGTCATGGGACAGCACATAACTTTGGTCAGTGAACCTAAATAAATTTTCATGGATAACATTTCTCCTTCTTCTGGAACCTCAGAAGGTATAAAAAATTCTATCATTCAGTGGTTTGAAGATAAAATTTCATCTGATCATTTAGTTGCTGTAGGCTGGGACGGTACATACGTCAATACTGGAAAAAAAGCTGGAGTTATGCGACTTCTTGAATTGCACTTAGGAAGACCTGTTCATTTGTTAATTTGTTTATTAGATGCAAATGAGTTATGCATCTTGACAAAGTAACTCTTGGACCGTCCACTTTTTCTGGTCCTCTTGGAAAGAAACTGAAGACTTGTGAATCATTGCCTTAAGTAAATTTTGTTTCAGTCGAAATTATACAGCCATTACCAAAAATTGACCATCCTGAGGATCTTAGTACAGATCAAAATATTTGTATGACATGTGCAATGTGGTAATGTCAGGTCATTGTTCAAGAGAACTTGCTTAACATGACACTGGTACAAAGAACCATTCTTGCTGGTTAATAATAGCAAACAGGATTTTGTGTCTTAATGTTGCAACTGCTAACCCATCCAAGAACTTAGTTTGTTAGTGAGATATGTAATTGAAGTGTATGCAACAGTTTGGTTTAATATCAAGAACAATCCCTCATACAGCCATGGCTCACTGAACCTTTTTCCACTTGTAAGAAAATCACGTTTTCTTCCTGAATCAGAGAAATATGTGGTGGATAGAGTAATCCAGAGAGATGCATATTTTGCCCACCCAGAAAATTTGCTGCTTGGAGATGGTTCTCAGACTATTAGACAACTTGCTCTTCATAGAATATTAGCTGCTCAATCTACCTCAAATTCTAGTACAATGAGACAGTTTGTAGTTCCAAACATCAATACATTACACTGATCTAATAATTTGGACTGAGAATAGAGCCACCACTTACAAAAAATATAAGCAATGAACAGTTGGTATCTTTCATTAATCAAGATGACATGCCAGTTTTCAAGTTCAGCATACCGTGTCTCACACAGGCAGTTGAAAGGTATGTTAAAATAGTAACAGAAGCTTCAACGGCTGTTTGTGGTTATTGCAGAAGAAAGGGATTGATTAAAGCAAAACTTCAATCTTGCAAAATCCTGAAAAAAGTTAATACTTAGAAACAATACATAATCCAGTAATTCTATTGCCTAGTGGAAAGGTGGTTGGGTGGGCATGGGTGGAACTCGACATGGAGTGGGGAATTCTGGGTAATTTAGGATATAAAACTCCTAAATTAGCTAAATGTTGCATATCCAAAGTTATGGTACTTTGATTATACATATTTTAAGGAAAATAACCCCCATTCACAGAAGTACAAGATATAATTTTAAAAGCCTGAAACTTACCCACATAATTACTACTATGAAAAGGCACCAATTGCATACCCTGCTAATAATGATATAAGAAATTTATATTTTCGATGCAACTACTGTATATATATAAAATGGAACATTATGATCAATGAAAAAATATTTTTTTAATTCTAATCCAAAAGGAAGTATTTTTAATGTTTTCAAATAAGTGTGGAAATTTCATGATATAAAAAATGATAAACTAAATCAAATTATCCATTTTTCTTAAAGCCAAAATTAGAGATACCATTTAAGAAGTATATACTAACTTTCATGCAATTTTGTTAAGTACTTCCACCGTGAGAAGAAAAATTCAAGAAATGTCAATGACATCCCTGTCCAGAAAGGACTAAAGAAAGACAATTCAAAATTTCAACACTAGAAATGGTTTCTAGAACTTCTATCACTCATCACTTTATTCCTATACATTTTCAACACATATTAAAAACACTGTGCTTCACAATTTACAACTTAACATTACTTTTGAAGACCAGTTGTGTCACTATAATAAAGTCAGAGCATTAATCTCAACCAATATATCAAACATGGGATAATTCTATAGCTATGAGGAATTTCTCTTCGAGGCACTGGCATTCTTTGACCAGTTAAAATCAAAATATATGTATTGACATTTTCTTTCAAAACTGCAATTACAAAAGAGGGTAAAAATTAAAACTATATCTAGTACTATACTGTACCACACAACTTGGCCTATTATTATAACATTTACATAACCTACACTATCAACTTTTAGTTCTTGCTGTGTACAGTTACAAAAGGATGTGGCTAACAATAAGTGGTAAAGATAAATTAATCACAGAATAACTTCAACCATAAGTTAATGCCTACATAGCTAACATCACTTAGTAAAGCAACAAATTCTCATTAGAATCAAGGGTTTGGTGTTTATGAATGGCAATCTTCACTTAAAAGCAAATAATCACTTACTACTGATAACATCCATATCTTCAATCTTTGAATGTTCCACCATTGAAAGCAGAAACTACCAACATCGGTAATTAGCTAGCTTGTGGGCAAAAAGCAACAAGATAACAATTCATCCTCATCATAAATACTATCTAAATTTTTTATTCAATGCTCAATGGAACAGTACTTTTTGCATAAACTATATGATATTTTTCATTTTGGTTTATAATATACTTATCAGAAATGTACAACGACAAATATAAGATACTTCACTCTGAATACTAACTAGCACATTAAACTTTAAGTTTGGGCATACCAAAATGTTAGTATTCCAATCTAAATTCATACTTCCTAATAAAATAAGATTTGTAAGTGCAAAATACACAAGTTAGACCTACATGTACCTCTTAAACCTAGAACATTCAGGTTCTGATCTGCTTCTATCAATTTTGTTTTCATTTACCTGATTCAGAACACAAACTCTACCTCACTGATTGAGGTATATAAGCTCAATGGTCGAAAAAACATGATATCAATCACAGATACAAAATATTCAAATACCACTTTTCCTCCTCTATTTATTAACTGTGAGTTTACTTACACAGTTTAGTCAGTTACTGAACTTTTATTTCCAATAGTTTCAAATATAAAGAGCTTCCACAAAACCCCTCTTCTATTATGGTCAAGTGATATGATGTTACATTATCACTTTTCATTAAAAATATGATATTGATCATAGAATGCTTAAGTGTTCCTTTTCATAGTGGTTATAATGTTTTGGGTGAACTTTCATTAGTATAGAGCTCAAATTTTGGATCAGTTATGTGAGAAAAATTAATAAAAGCACATCCATAAACCTGAATTTTGGAGATGCTGTATTAAACTGAGTTGTTAAAATGTGCTCTGTCACTAAGCATTAATGGGCTAACCTTCTGTTCAGTTGGTAGAACATTCGTCTGCCATGTTAAAGGTCTCAAATTCAATACCAAATCCGAGAGGTGTGAAAACTTGGACTGCTACAATAAATATTAGTGTCATGTCCTGAGATAAAGACCAAGGATAGGTCTTACTTGTGAGAGGAGAAAAATACAGTTATTTTAGTTGTTAAAAAGTGCCTTACTTTCAAGTCCTAGTGGGTTAATCCTTTAAGCTCAGTTGGAAGTGCACTCACTTCTATTACAAACAGTCCTGGGATAAAATTCTGGATGAAGAACATACAAAATTACAATTATCACAGAGCTATTGTTGTCTAAATTCAATGATACCATTTTAAAGGAGAAATACAAAACTGATTTCTCTTAGTATTTTAAGGGTAGTACTATTAGTACTGATAATGTAAAGTATTGTTAGTACTACAGAGGGTTGGGTATGTTATATTAATTTTAAATATGTAAATCAACAAGTAATGTGACAATCACAGTCAATATGATATAGTGGTGGAACAGACTGTATCAAAAGTACATTTTGACAATGTTTAGCATTTCATAGGTAATGTGATGTCACCAAAAATTAGTCACTTTTGGGAAGGGTATGTAACAGCCCTTTCATAAATTCAGATCATGCAGATGTGTTCAGGTTAGGGATATCCTTTGTACTTAATGGCACTGGAAAACAAAGGAATGTGGATCAATATGGGATACTAGGACCACTCACAAAAAGGCCTGTATTAAGTCATGCTTAGCTGTGGTAAGCAAAGTGTAGTATCTTGTATCATGCAAGAATCCATGAACACAAAGGTCAGTGGTAAGAGCTGCCCACATGCCTTAGACAACAGTACACAACATAATAAAGAAGGATCTCTGTCTGGAGAGGAGGCACAAGTCACGTATACACAAGCTGCTTTCATGACATATCCATTTAACTGTTGCATACCTAAAGCAACTGAAGAATGAAACAGGTATCCCTACTATTCCATACAAAGACATATTGGTCAAGTCACCGTACACAGCACCTATGGATTTCTGTGAGACCAGCTTTTGCATTGGAAACTAAACTGTAAAGCTATTGTCAAGATCATGGCTATCACATGCAGTTTGACCAGACATGACAACATTGAGTGTAACACTATGACGAAGCTTCAAAATTGTTTTAACATAATGTACTGAACCTCTAAAGTACCAAGACAGTACAATTTAAAAACTGTAAAAAAGTTTAACAAACTAGTTAACTAGCTGCATCATGGATTTTGACACCTATTGAAGAAATTGTACATGGCCTTCATACAGTTTTAAACCAAACTTAACTTAAAAAATTAAATGTTTAATCAATCCAAAAACATACAATTCTGACATTAATTAAGTATGCTTAAAAGTTAAACTATGAGAACACAAGTAAAACCTGTGCTATGTTAAACTGGGAAGGAATGAAGATTTTTCTTTCGCTAGTTTTGGAGTTTTCATTACGAAAAAGTGTGAAAATTAAATTTCAAACTTTAAAATTATTCTTCATCAGTTCATGCTTCACCTGCATGTTCAGTGTCATCTATGTGGATGTCTAACTCTAAATGATAAATTAGGTGAAATACTACATTATTATTCACATGCTTACATTAATTTAGGCTACTAAATGGAGAGTTAAGAAGTACTAAAAATAAAAATATATTTTATTGGGAGTGTGGTAATTACTAACAGTAAAACTAAAATAAAAGTAGGCTTAACAACGCGCTAATGCCCGAAGGTACCGAGTAGCTATGGTTGTGCTGTTCAGTGTTAATATTTTAGGCATTTAGGTTTTGATATTGTTTTACCAAGATAAATTAAAACCATAATAAATCATATCATGATCGACTCTGACTCTTGAGTATCATTATCACTGTGTCAGTATCATACTAGTACTATAAACGTATAAAATTAAAGTTGAAGATACAGTATAAAAACGTAAAACAATATATTCCTGTAATTATTTTACATTAAAGAAACATTTGTATTTGTAAGCTTACACAATAATTTGTATTGCTAGTGTACATAATACTGTTACTTACAGTAGTTACATTAGTTTACAATTTACAGCTGATCTAACAAAACACAACACTCCAAACTCTGTCAATACAACGTCATACTAACGCATTCTCGCGACCTCACTAAAAATTTAACATTTTTTAACTTGACATAAATATCGATTTTAATACGTTTTATATCATCTGTAACTTTAAATTAGAAAACACACACACAAATATATATATCTTAATTTTCATATTATCAGATTCAGCTTCAACATTGCCTAAAGCGATTGTTCAGACACGAAAAATATTATTTCAGCAAAATCGTATCAACATATATTCATCATTTACAATTATAGCAGCTTGTTCTTACTTTATCTTCTAAATTATGCGTTATGTCTAAAATAATTGTTTGAAAATTCTTCATACCAAATTGAAAAGTGTGTTTTAAAGTTTATTTTGAAATACACAGATTGACGGAACAGCGGACTTATACTGCTAGAAACCGGGTGGGCAGAGCACAGATAGCCCTTTGTGTAGCTTTGTGCTTAATAACAAACAACAACCTAAAATATTAAATTTCATAAGTATTTCAGATATTAATGTTTTTGAATACACAGTTATTTTATTCATGTTTTGTGATGTTTATGTTACAAATAACAACCACTATCTCACACCTATTGAGCTGGTCAATACACCTCTAAGCAAGTTAATTTAGCTATCCATGGATACGTTGATTATGTAGACTAGTAAAATGTTTTTAATGAATTTTCCTGTCTTAAAGCCTTCTTTCGGTGGCTCGCCGGTAAATCTGCAAGCTTTGCGACGCTGAAAATTGGATTTTGAAGTCCATGATGGGCAGAACACAGATAGCCAATTGCATTGCTTTGCGCTTAACAACAACCAATCGTCTTAAGAAATTCCAGACGAAAATCTAATTTTGTTTAAATTCTAAACTTAATGTTTGACTCTTTTAAACTTTTGAGTTAGATTATTTGACGCCTATTACATGGAATTAAAAAAGCTAAATACATGACTATTGTAATTCAAAGTTATACCTAGCTTACAATCTAATTTTAGCCTGACCCTCGTTTTTGACTTGGTAGAGAAGCAACAGCCCATAGCCAAACAGGTACACACACACATATAAACACTGTTTTAATGTTCAGTGTTTTATTAAAGACTGTTCATTTTCTTTGTTGCTTTTTGCCCAGTCTCTTTATTTCATTAAGCATTGTCACCGTTAGTAAGCGTTTTTCTATTACTCCATAATTATATAACCTGATTGAATCTCCTGTTTAATGAATTTACTCGATATAGCTCCAAAGTATTTTCATTTCATCTAAGAATATCATATAACACCCATCCACCCCACCAAGTGGCTCAGCAGCAAGTCTACAGACTTACGGCGCTAAAAATCGAGGTTCGATACCCGTTGTGGACAGAGCACAAATAGTCCATTGTGTAGCTTAGCACTTAACAAGAACAACCAATACTAAAAAGCCAATTACACAAGCAGTATTTGTATATTAATTAGAATGATAACGTTGTTGGCTGGTGCACAGTGCGAGTTCGATTGAAGAGTGAATAAAATTTGTACTTTTCTGACACAATCATCCAGATAGATATGACGGGCATCGACATAGACTTATTCTCTCTTTCCTATTTTTTATTTTATAAATAATGGCTTCTAAATCTTTCCTGTAACGTGTTATATTATTTTATTAGTAAGATATTTGCTGCTATTTTATGCTATTATAGCATTTTAATAAACTGCATTGCTAAAAGTTAATTGATTAAGTAGTGTTTGTTTTAAGAGTCAATAGGGCTTGTTACTGTTGAAAAACCTGGCAACCCTCCCTTCAATGGTTGAACAGGTAATATCTAGAAGCTACGGCTCGTATGTGTAATGAGAATGACAGGTCACGTGGAACGCATATGATGCTGGGTATATAAGAGTAATTTCTTTTGAAACTAAGAAGCCTTGAATTTAGCAGTTTGGTTGATGATACTAAACTGAGAACATCTAGTAAAAGTGATGATCTGACGTAAATATAACCGAAAGTACACATACTGTGTTTGTATTACACATATTAATAAATATTGTTTATCTTGTTTTACACTTGTGTCCAGCCTCGTTGTTCTGTTCAACGTCGACTCAG